GGGGAGACAGTCGGTCTCCCCATCCAGCAACCAGGCTCCCACCAGGCTACTTCCGTGATAGTGCTGGCATCAGAGCAGAGTACAGCTGGTCTCTGCCCACCTCGCAACTCACCAATTCAGTGTACCAGTCCCCCACACAGCAGTGGTGAGGCACCTGGACATGGACAACTTTTCCCCGTACTCAAGTGTAGTAACCATTTATTGTGGGTGGGCTGTACTACTAATTGTGTTTTATGGGTGGGTTGCTGGACTAACCAAGGCACTGACCGGCAGGAGGTCAGATACCCTGTTAATCTGTTTGGAAAAGGGGAGAGATGTGACGAGACCAATCTCACCACTGTGCATTGGAGGAGCCTGGTTACCCGCCTGCTGCCTTTAGACTATGGCCCCATGTTGAAACGCTTGATTTCCCCCTGCAAAGACATGAAAGCTGGGTCATTCGGTGCTTGCCCTGTTTGAGCGGTGATACCCCAGATAGCTATGCCATGGAGACCGTTCGTATAATGAAAGACTATGGGAAAGACTTTGGCTCCATGGCAAATGAACTGTATGTGTGTGATCTGAGCGCCATTCAGTAATAATGTGAGCTCAGATCTGAGCTATCTGGGGATATGTTGAATGTACCTGTCTTATGCAATGGCTGCACAGTTATATATTTTTATGTATTTTATTGTCTTTTGCTGCTATGTGTTCAATGGAGTTTTGCCTCTGTCCTTGGAGATAATTGGATTACTTCCCAATTATCTCCAGGATAGAAGACTCTGTGGAACTGGTTTTGGGCAGAAAAGCCATGCTTCATTTGGTCACAAAGGACTACGATCTATCGTTCGAACCACTAGACCAATTTGTATGAATTTGACGTATGTTTGTATTTGGAGCATGCTGATTGAAAATGTAAGTGAATGTGATGCATACTTTTAAAATTATGAATAATGTGGAAAAACTGTATTTCTCTGCCTGTGATAATTACATTACCCATTGTGTAAGGTAATTGTATCACAGGCAGAAGGGAGGATTTTGTGTGGGAGTGTCTGAGTGTATTGTACGTGTTTATTGGTTGTTTTCCAAAACCCTGTGGGTGGTACTAATGTGTAAGAATGTGTATATATCTGTTCCTGCTTGACCCTCAAAATGGAGCCTTGTCTTGTTCTTGGGGGGGATTTATTGTATGCTGTTCCAGTTTGACTGCTAGGAGTGTAAACCTATTCGTATGGTTTTTCCTATTCGGCTGTTTACAGCATTCGTATGTTTGAGAGCATTCTATGCTTCTCCGGTTCGGTGGATTGGTGTCTACACTAGCTGCCTGTATATCTGGAAGGGAATATCTCCTAAACGGCTGTTAACCCCTTTTATGCCTGGGGGTGCCGTCACACACCACCACTACCCCCTCTTTTCATAAAGCTTTTTGGAATGTGCATTCAGTGTGTGTGACGCCATTATATACACTGTCATCCATGGTCTCCTTAAATGTCCTGGCACTAACTGAAACCTGAATCTCTTTCTTTGGCACTGCTACCCTCATTTCCCTATTCTTAGGTGACTTGCAACTAACCCAATCTTTAGATTGTTTCTTCCAACTGTTGATCCTTATCCTTCTCTTACATTTTTTTCCCTTTTGAGGTTCACCTCATCTGCCTTTTCGATTCCCTCTCTTTTTACTGCACCCCTGGCTCACCTCTTCTCTTTATTTTATGCTTGGCTTTTTCTCTTCTGACATTTCATCCTTCATCTCTGGGGACTTCAACATCCATATTACCAACCAAAAACTCAAGATTAATTATCTTTAACTTTCTGCTTTACTCAGTGGGCTAACTTTACTGAGCACATAGCTGGCAATACTCTTGACCTTATCTTTAGTCTATCCCTTTATTTCACACTATTTCCTCTGTCTGATCATCACTGGTGTTGTTGTATGTGTCATTCTCTCAGCATCATAGATCTAACTAATTTTGGCCCTTTAGAAACCTAAACTCAATCCGTGTCAGCTCTCCTCTGCTCTCCAGTCTATACTTTCACCTTTCTTACCTGTCCATCTCAAGCAATCTCTTTCTGTAACACTGTCCACTCTACTGCTCTTGATATGGCAGCACCAGTCAAATCGCACGCTATGTGTTAGTCGCACATTCCATGTTGGTATAATATGCTCACCAGTTATCACTAAAGTTGTCTTTGTACTGCAGAACACTGTTGGAGAAAGTCTTGAATTACTTCTGACTTCAACCTACAAATCTGTGCTCTCCCTTGCCAAACAAGAGTATTTTACCTGCTTCATTAGCACATACTCTCATGATTTTTTTAAAACAAGCTTAACTCCAACCAATCCCCACACTAATCTCACAGCCAGAGACTTTACATATCACTTTACTGACCATATTAGAAATGATATAGCCCCTCTTCCCTTCTCCCCCACAACTCAAATTTAATTGTTTCTTCTTTTACCCTCAATTCCTCTCCTTATTATCTGATGTGTCTTATTATCTGATGCCACTTCCTTACCACTGCCTGTCTCATTTCTTGGTCCTCTTTTGTTCACTATTTAGATCTTTTTGGTTATTTGTTTTTTCCGTACAATTCACACATTGACAAGACTAGACTTCACCTCTCTTCCCCTGATCTCTTTCTTGTTCTCCCATCTCTAACTGGATGCTATTTTGATTTCTAAAACTTGACCACTACAAATCTGTACTTCTCATATTTCCTTCTTCAAATTTGCCATACCCATCTATCTCCCGGCTGGTCATTGGCACACCCATTACCCAACCTCCTACACTTTCTGCCTTGGAGTTACTTCAAACAAGATTTCACTTTTTTCTCCCCATATCCAGTCCGTCCACCTTCAAAACATTAATCAAGATGCTACCAAGGTTCTTGTTCATGCACTTATCATGTCACACCTTGACTTGCTTCTCATTTGCCTTCCAAGTACATGGATTGCCCACTTCAATCTGTAACGAATGCTGCCACCAGGCTTATCTTTCTGACTCACTTCTACTCTCTTAACTAATCTATTTACCAATCCTTACATTGGTTCCAGTACCTTCCAGGATCAATCTGAACTATTAACCGTAGCTTATAATGCCCCCAACGATTCCACTCTTCATTGAATTTCCTCATTAATTAACAAATATATTCTTTCTTGTTGCCTTCACTCTGTGCGTGACCTTCTCCTGTTCTCTGTTCATTCCCACATTGCTATTTCTCAACTACAGGATTAGTCAATGGCCACATAATTTCCTGTGGAATTCCATACCTCATCCTATTATATTGACCTGTAGCTTTCAGGTTATTAAAATGTCACTAAAACCCACCTCTTTATTAAATCATACCATCTACCTGGGTGACTCTTCTCTCAATATTCCTCCTTTCACTCCACTTTTCACTTGCATCCACAGTCTATTTCCTCTCTCTACTTCCACTCTAAGGTTCCTCCACACCATCATCATATATGCAAAACCCCACATCTCCTCTGTCATGTGTTCCTCTACCTCTTTCTCTTAGATAGTAAGCTTCTTCACCTCTTGAAAAAACAGAAGAAGGTTGTGCCAAATATAGAATTATTATACTATCTGCTCTAATTTTAACTTTTCTGCTCTAAATCATACTACAGTAGAAAGCACTATTGTTCTTCTTTCTTTTGAGTGATACTGGACATCACCCTGACACTAAGTCTGTCAAGGACACCTACAGTGTGTTTGTGTGTATTGCAACTGCTGCTGTGTGCTGTCTTGCAAATTAATCATATCAAAGGATTTGTGGTGGGGAATGTACCATCTATGCCTATTTCACAGAGCAGTGTGTCTGCTCAATAAAGTGTGAGTAATATCCTAAATACATCTCTAACCCAGAATATATAGAGGGCACTATTGTTTTTCCCTTACTCTTCTCTTTTGGGTTGGCTGGTCTTTGCCTCGCTGTAAAGCCTACCTTAATTACCTTTCAATATATTTGAATTTCAAGATTCTACTGTGTAGCTTTCGCTCCACATAGACTGTATAGACTGTTGCTGTTTGCTATTACCCTACAATTTGTACATTTTTTGTCATCATAATTTTATCTTGTCTACTATATTTTATGATCCTTTATAAAATTTTGTTTTATTTACTAGTTCCTATTGAATTATAGCATATAGTAAAATAATTCTATTTTTGGCGCAACCTGTTCTATCTTGTGGGGTTGAGAGGGAACCCCATACCCTTATGTGTCCTACGTTTTGTCTTTTGTTTGGTTATCTAGAGCTGATCCACTGTTGTTTTCTTTCTGTTTCTTCTTCACCTCTTGTCTGTTAACATTTTTTTTCTATCAATTACTTGTAAAAAAACACAACCCCCCCCCACTATGTAAGTGTGAAGTTCTGCAGAAAATATTGGCGCTATGTAAATGATAATAATTATGTAACTAAATATAAACCAACTGTGGCCTTTTGATGTATGCTTCTTCAGGTGTCTGCTTCCATTCTGTTTTATTGTATCCATACAACTTCAAGTGCAAAATGGAACCACATGCAGAGCCTGTCAGATTGTGTGTTATGTATGCAGGCCATGCAGAACCTGTGTGATTGCAATCCCCCTGAGATTCTGTTTTTTGCACGCAGAGCCTCTCAGAGCCTGTGTTCCGTACGTTTGAAAACAGCGGTTAACATTCCACATTCTGTTACTCTGAGTGTCATGCAGAGCCTTCAGCTTCCTTGTTCTGTATGTACTACTTAGAACGTCTAAGATCCTTTGTTTTGTTTTGCATGAAAAACATATAGAGACTCTCAAAGTCTGTATAAATTGTGCTTTGAGCTTTCAACATTCCTTGTTCTGTTACTACACGAGTGACATGCAGAGCTACTCTGATCCTGCACTTTGTTTGAATCACATGGAGACAATGTCAGATTCTGTGATTTTTATACACATACTGCATGAAGTAGAACCTATCAATTATTTTATCCTGTTGACAATGAATGATTTGCAGAGCATCGGAAATTCTGCATATTGTATGAACAACATGCATTTCCTCCAAGAAGCTTTGTGAATGTCCTACATGACGAAACTCTCAGATGCTAGGCCCTGTAATGCTAGTCACACTTCTCAAAACACCAATACGTGGTGCACAAAGGCATCAGATGCCATATTTGTGCAAATACAATATAGTCACATTAAATGGACCCTATCCGTGAAAATCTACTGCTCATGTGGCTATATGAATAATATACAGATCTTCTGCAACATCATGACTAAAAGCAACAACCTTTTCACTCAAGAGGCAGTTTGTTTGCTCATTTCACTAAATTATATTTACTTTCTTGAACTTTATGCATTCCTAGGCTACAAATAGGGTACTTCATTTAAGTGGCATCTGTAGTTGTTAGTCCATTACCTGAGGAATGTGATCTTATTCACAGAGAAGGACCAGACTAGTGGCAAGTCATAATGCCAATATTAGTCACTAAAATGTGAACTAGCAGGAATCCCAAGTGAATTGAAATTTTATGTGAAAATTGTCAAAATGAAAAGATAGCTGACTTGGAGCATTTTTCCACTTTGCCTTTATGGTCTAAAATGTTACAATTACTTTTATTTTAATTTAAAGTTGTGACGTCTCACATTTTAGTAAATAACCCTGTGCATATTAAATTACCGTTTGGATTCTTGTGGGTGGGGAAGACTGAGAGTGTTGTGTGGGTGGTGATGACTGTGTGTTGTAGCTTGTGTTGTGAGTGGCTGGCTATTAGTGATGTGTGGGACTAGCAGTGTCTAGGTGGCTGTGATATGTGTATGTAGCTGTGATGTGTGTTGTTTGTTGGTAGGCTGTGTATGTTGTGTCCAGCCTACCAACATATTTCAATATATCTTATTTAAAAAATGTGTGTTTTTGCCTTTCTTCTGCGCACATTTGAACTGGAAATGGGTCATAATCCCAGTTCCCTGGTGGTCCTGTGAGTCTGTGTCCTGCTCTTTGGTGGTCTGTTGTAGACTCTGCCCTCTTCCTTGATGGCACGGTGGTTGGTGCATATAGTCTTGATCTTTGGTGGTATAAATTGCTGTTAATGCCTTTTCTGGTTTGGGACTGTGAGGGACCAATGAAATGAGAGGGAGCAGGGTTGGTCTCTTTGGTGATGATAGGGTGCATTATCAGAGCTGGCACTCCAGGCAAATCTCTGATTTACCGAATGGTCAAATCTCAACCTACACAGAAACAGACAATCTCTGACATTCTGTGGACACCAATTCCCTTTATGTGAATCTCATCACTGAAGATAAATTGCCATTTGTTTTGGCTGAACCACTATGTCCAAAAAAATAATTAATTAATTACTGCAAAATGTATGCATAATATAAATATTATCATACCTCCCAACTTCAGCAGTCCAGGAATCGAGGAAGTGGGTAAAGAGGGCTGGCCAGTGGCATGCTTGCGTCACTGACTCTTCCTATAAGGCTGCAGACCTGCACAGAATGTTAATAGCAGGCCAGCATGGTGTGAATTTACCCCATGCTTCCTGACAATCTTTTAAGCCCATCCCATTCAGGGCAGACCATGCAGGGAGTACTGTTCTGGGACTACCTGCAGGCTTCTTGTGCTCTAAACATTGCACGAGTGCATCTAATGTTCCACTTGTACTATGATTGGTGGGACAGAGGCACACGACCCAAAAATTGGGACTGTTGCAAGGCATGTATTATGTTAGGTTTTTACATACGTATTAGGAATAAAAGCTGTAGTTGGCAGATTTTTAATTCTGCCCTATATGTTCATGAAAACTTAACATGGGTAAGTTAAGGGGATCATGCTGTACTCAGGATATATAGCTGAACACAATGTAGTGATTTTTAACTAAATTGCTATGTGCATATAAAAAAAATGCACAAATAAAATAATACCATATTTGGTGTCAACTTTTGCAAGCGGAATGCATTAATGGGATATTAGAACTGCCAAACTGCTATAATGCCCCAAAATGAGACATAGGCCCTTTAAACCTATCTCTCAAAATTCTTATTGTAAAAACTAAAATTATCATGTCTTTTAAATGGGACTACAGCTTCACATGAAAGCAGCTAAGGCCTAAAGTGGGGTTATTGTTTTACTCAGAACAATTTGCTGAGCATAATTTGGGGGTTTGATGTTAGTGGCACATATTAATTTTACAAAATGCCCAGCAAAAATCCAAAAAAAAAGACCACAAACGTAGACAAAAACTGAAGATAAAATGTAAGCATGTTAAGGCACAATATACACCATTTGTGATAGCCTGGGGTGTCTACTTTATAGTAGCCTTTGAACAGTCAAGCTGCTATAATGAGACATAAGCCCATCAAATACAGCTCTCAAAATTCTAACTGTAAATATTGAAATGGCTAGGTGTCTATAGCGCTTTACATGACAGTGGCAAAGGCATACATTGGTGGTATTCTGCTCAGAAGATGTAGTTGAACACAATTTGGGGGTTTGTACAGAAGTAGCACACATCAAACTTATGAAGAACACATTAAAAAAAACATTGTTATATGTGAATGTAAAAAAAAAAACAACAAAAAAAACAGAAACACCAAAATGTTGCGGAGCCAATTTAGTAACGGGCCATAAGCTAATGAAACCGACGATTTTGGCGTGGAAAATCTTTCCCCAGTTTACCTGCTCCACTCTGTCGTCCAGAGAACATTAACGGATGCAAAGACAAAAAAAAAACCAAACGCCGACAAAGGCCTTCCTGAGATATCGGAGAACTTCTGCAGAGATCACAGGCAGCCGCATGGAACAAAATGGCGATGTGTGATGAGGGATCTTCCTGTTCTTCGGAGGATATCCCCTTCGATGTGGGTATGGAGACCTTAAGAGCACCACAGTTAGACGCCAAGCCCAAGCAACCATTGCAGATGAACCGTTCACTGCCAACCTGCTCAAGACCCTGTTTGGTGAACAGAGGGCCAATATCGCAGCCAACATGGCCTTTATCAGGGAAGCCTTGAAGGATGTTACTACACGCATTGCCCTGCTGGAAGCCGCATGGAGTACCCATGACTCAAGACTGTCCACAGTGGAACAAAAACCAGAGGAGCTAGAACAGTGACAAATGGCTACCACTGAACAGATGGACGCCATAGAGAAGCAACTACTGACTCAGTATGCCTTCCTGATGTGCCCCACTATATCCGATGGTTGATAGCACAACTAATACAGCCAAAGGTGAAGCTCGATGGTATGTTCCATTCCACACTGACCTCGTAGTCCGTTTCCAATCCCTACAGGATAAGGCCTTTCTTATGTTTGCAGCCCAGAGCAAGACCCCCCCTGCTATTTAATGGCTCCTCACTGGTCCTGTACCCAGACCTCACCAGAAGCACCATCAGCTGGCGCAGATCCCTACAACTTCTCCTACAATGACTTCGGCTAAAGGACATTCCATACAAGTGGGGACTGCCTAAACAGCAACCTTTTACCCACTTGGGCACTATTTACAAGGCACGGTGCCACAAAGAACTCGAGGCTCACCTGCGAAGTGTGGGCCTGGCGGAAATTAAAATTATAGACTGATCATTTATTTGTCAGTGGGCAAACTGTCAAAATCAGCAGGGGATCAAATACTTTCCCCCTCACTGTATATAAGATGTGTTGGCAAAGAGGCGAGGGACAAAATCCCTGTTGAGATGTGTGCAAATCTGGTGGCCAACTACAAGAAATGTCTGACTTCTGTGATTGCCAACAAGGTTTTTGCCACCACGCAGTGGCGTACTAAAGGGGGAGCGGGGGGGAAGGGCGGTCCGCCCCGGGTGCCACCAGGATGGGGGGTGCCATGGCCAGGGGCGCCCCCCCCATGCTGCAGCCGCCCGAGCGCTCTGTAGAGAGCCTCAGGCGGCTGCAGCTTTGCCCGGGCGGTGCGTCCATGAGGGCGGACCGCACCGCCCGGGCACAGCCTGAGGAGAGGGGCTGACAGGAGGTCAGCGCTCAGCGCTCCCTCCTGTCACTCCCTCTGTCGTAGCGTGGCCGAGCCCTGCAGCATGATGGTCCGACGGGTACAGAGAGCAGCTGGCTCCTGTACCCGGCCGGACTAACAGGAAGTGCACACTGAGTGTTCACTTCCTGTTAGTCCGACCGGGTACAGGAAACAGATGCTCCCTGTACCCGGGCTCGGCCACGCTACAGCAAAGGTAGGGGGGAGGAGGGGGGGTGAGAAAGGAGAGGGGGGGTGAGAAAGAGGAGAAAGGGG